ATATATTTTAAAACTGTCACTATCCCAGTTTCTAAGATACACATTTTTACTTTGTATAAAAGGTTGACCGTTGGAACATTCTCTTATGGTTTTCCAAATATATTATAATTCTTATAGGACGTGACACGCCCTTTATTGCTAATCCGCCAATATTTTAACCGAATCTTTACATGCATGTCAAATTTGTTCGTGCAAAATTTTTGGGATTATAATACCAATAGTTTCTTATATATACGAATTATTGTATTTCATTCATATGGGAGGAACCATGCCCCTTGTTATTAATCTAGCAATTTATTACACACATGTTTATATGGATGTCAAAGTTGTTCGTAAAACATTTGAGGATATTAGTTTTAATGATTTCCCAGATATGTATACGAATTTGTGTATTTATTTCATATGGGAGATACCGCGCCCTCTATTGCTAAACCACCAATTTTTACCCAAATATTAACATGGATTTGGAAGTTGTTTGTGCTAAATTTTAGGACTATATATGAATTTTTATACTTAATTCATATGGAAGTTTTCCCAAATTATTCATATGTATTTCAATGCAGCCTGTATAAAATTTGAGGATTCTTGATCTAATCGTTTCCAAGGTATGCCTCCATACTTCTTATGTTCACATGCATAACAAAGATTTTCGTGAAAAATTTGAGGATTCTAGCTTCTATAGTTTTCAAGATCTATGAATTTGTGTATTTAATTTATATGTCAGATGTCACGCCGCCCATTTTTGTCTTAAATATTTATAATGATACTAAAGTGCATCCGAAATATGTTTGCAACTCTGTCATATGAGGTGCCACGCCTACCATAGCCAGTCCGCCCATTTCATTTACAAATGTTTATATAGATGTTAAAGTTGTTCGCAAACAATTTGAGGTACAATTTTATTCCAAATTTGTTTGCAAAAACGAATACGTTTCACAAAAAGAAAAATCTATTAAATTTAAGTTTATAATTCTCAATTCAATCTTAAGTATTACCACAAAATGTATGTACGACTTTGCCAATAAATATTTAAAATAAGTTAACATTGGAATTGATTACAAAATCTAGCCCAGAAATTCTTGAACTGAGTATAAATATATACTCGTACTATAAAGTATGAGTATAAAAATATTCCTACTGAATTCAAATAAATCACAATATTTAATATAACTATGGGTATCATCATCATCATATATGTATATTAATACGCAAAGCCAAAACGATTGGGAACATTTTCCGGCTCTATTACTTGACCGATTTTCTTGATTCTTTTTTTAATGAATGCAGATTCGCGAGCCTCACTGCAGAATGTATATATGATCAAAATTGGTTCAGTATTTTCGGAAATATAAGCGTTTAAAGTTTCTACCAATACACAATCACACAAACATGTGCTTTAAAAAATAGAAAACAAAATAAGTAAGCAAAACAACAACACTGTTTTTTTCATAAAAGAGAGGAGAGTGTAAAAACATGTTACTTCTCTGTTGATGGTTTATTTTTGTATTTTGCAAATTGCAATGATATTTTTGTTGTTGTTTTTAATAAGATATTTGTAAACTAATAAGTATACAGGCTTAGACAAAGCGAAAATATGATTTTATTGTTTTTTATTTTTTAAAAGTGTAAAGTGATACATTTTGAATGTAATAATGATATATTATTATATTAGTGATGTAAGATACAAGAGGATGATGATGTTTGACCAGGGAATCATTGGTGGGACAACAATTCTACATAAATGTTAGTTTTTATTGATTTTAAAGATTTTAATGATGGACAAAAACAAAGCCTTTTAAAATATAAGTAGGATAGTTTAGTTTGTCATGTCGGTACATGATACACCGTAATAAATGAATCAGTATATCGCTAATACGTAGGTTTAGCACAGTGAGGATTTGATGATATTCTTCTTTTTCGGGTTATTCTAACCAATTAGGAAGAAGGCGGTTGTTGAAATAGTAGTGTAAAGTGAAAACTGTAGTTTGTGTAGGCGATGGTTACTTATATGTTTTATAAAAATAGATGGTTGATGACTGCCCTTTCTTAAGGTGGTATTAGAGTAAAATACATATCGTCTAATACCACCTTTAGCAATTTATCGTTTACTATTCTTTTACTTGCAATTAAACTTACATATGTTAATATAAGGCTGGAATTTGTATGTAGTTTATTAACGTTTTCTTTCAAAAATTTCTTAAGAAGTACTTAAATAATTATGAAAAATTAAATAATAACTAAATCATGGACAAACTCTTGAAGTAAAGAGGCGTTTAAGTCTTATTCTCCAGATACAAGAATCTATCCCTGTTGCAAAATCTCTCTTGCCTATGCACTTCTATGCGAAAGCTAATAGAATGCCTATTAAAAGATCTTCGCTTAAAGGCCTATAAGTAGTACAGCTTCATAGAATATCTACTATTAAATTCGATTAAAAAACATTTAAATTTAAGCCAAATAAGTAGTAAGTCAGCTGAAAGAAGTCTTTATCGTGTGTTATAAGGGAGAATTTATACAACATAAACCTGAAGGATGGACTTTTTATACAAAAGGCAGCAAAATTTATTTATTTCTTATAGAGATAATATATACTATATATATTCCTGTTCCAAAAACACATTCCGATCTAAAATGGAGTTATTTAAGTAAAGATATTTATTAAAACTTAAAAAAACAATAATTTAAAACATCCCACTTTAAAAATTGAAAGTGGTTTTGATCGGAATGAAATCCTTTTACAGTCCTAATAGCAATAATTGAAAAATTGAATTTTAAATGAAATTTTGTTAGATCGTAATTTGCAATGTACTTTTGAAGGACTACTTCAAGTCTACCTTCTGCGCAAAAACATAATTACAAAAGATGAAGATATGTTGAATTTTGGTTATTAAAATCTATGTCCAGTTTTGAAAAAAAAGCTTATAGGTTTGGATTCTGTGCGCTCTTGAGAATATTAATCTATTTTTGTTTTTGTTATCTGTCAGCTATAAAAACCAAAAAACAAAATTGGATAGTTTCATAAACAAATAATGATTTTTCGAATTCAATTGTTACAGCCCTATTGAAAATATTTTTAGGGGTTTGTACTTTTCTGATTCCTCTTAAAAAATTACAATTTCACTTCCAAATAACTATAAAAAATATATTATAAAAATAAATTCTTGAGAATGACTTCAGGAGTAATGAATTTGGAATCAAATAAAAGAGACATTCCGCCTATAAATAATCTGTGTAAAAATCATCAGTTCTGTAGGTCTTTTCTTTTTTTGTTGGGATATAGAGATATAGGTTGAATATTATTACAGGTTACAATAGGAATAGTGCTGGGCAGGTTCGACATTGTTTACGACAAGGGGCATGGATGATTGCTGGAGGAATTGGCAAATTGTTAAACATAGGAAAATATCATATTGTAAAGAATGAATACATATATCATATCGTAAGTTTTGCATAGATTTTATAAACATTTATGTAGATGATAATAAATCGAAATATTTTTGAAAAGTATGTTGCATAAATAATTTTAGAACTTAGATTTTAAACTTCTTTCAGAATTTAACAAAATTTTATCACATTTTCTAAAAGAATACGTTTATCAAAGCAAGTTTTACACTTTGATAATAGTAATAGGAATATTTTTTTAAAGACATTAGAACTATAAAAATAGGGATTTATTTTGCAGCATAAGTATGCAATCTTTTCTTCAATGGTTCCTGTCGAATTTCGGCCGCGGGGCGAACTCTAGTAAATATTAATGTGCATGTACACATCTATGTTAGCAATTTAAATGTATATTTTTTTGGTAATAAACATTTTTTTTGAAATATTCTGAAATCAAGTTTAAATCGAGCTTAAAAAAGGAAAACTCAAATAATTTGTTTAATTTACTTTTTTTCTAAAATGATGTGAGTTTGTTCTGAGTTTAGAAATCAAGTAGAAATAGTGCTCAAATTAAGCACATTTTGTTATAATTTCAATCAATGACACAATTACTTTCTTTATAAAGGATTAAAATAAACCAAAATAATTTGATTTAATAAAATTTTTACAATTTAAAAAATAAAATTTAAATAGTTACGTTAGGTAATTGGAAACATTTCAAAATTTTCTAATTAGATTTTATATTAATTGCTTTTGATTAAAATATATTTCATTAGTTTTCACTTTCTGGAAATTTCTAATAACATTTCAGGTAGTCCTAACTATTTAAAAAAAATCCAAATTATACTCTAAAAATTTCCACTTGCCATAAATACATAAAATTTCACATTTTATTAAAAATATTTGTTATCTGAAAAACACTTAAATTTTCGAAAGTATAATAAAGTACAGTTAGACACATACATATGTATGTATGTACATATCAAACAACTAATATTTATGTTTCTTAAATATATCTAAAAAATACTTTTTTAATTTATTTGAAATTTCTAATTGAACTATAACTAAAATTAACAACTACCAATCAACATATTTATTAATTATTTTATATAAAAAATTTTAATATTTTAAGAAAACATTAAAAAATTTCACTCGTTAATAACATATTCCTCTACATCTGGCAACCTTTTAATATGTTTCATAATAATTAATTAACAAGTAGTATTTTAAATTATTTAACAACTCATTAACAAATTGTTTGGTATACGGCTTTATTGGCTTTTAATTCATTCTCCACAAAAACTTAACGATTCATTGATAAAACTTAAAAAAATAAAAAAGCGACAATAAATTGTGGGCGTAATTTTGTATATGATAAAAAAATACAAAATTTCCCATAGAAATTATGGTCTCACAGTATCGTTATCTTCACAACATGGTGTATGGTGCATTTAATATATAAAATAAAATACTAACCCGGTTTATGTTATAATAAGTAAAAACACATTTAAAAATATATAAATAAACAAATGATAAAGGTGTTGGGTAATGTAAATGGAACAACTATGAAAATGAAACATTTAATGACCTCCGAAACCCATTGGTTGTACCCCCTACAGATGCATACGATACCATGGAAACCTCTTCGGAATTGGAATTCAAATCGATAACAATCAATCACGCTCAATACAATATGGAAGCGGACGAATTTAAATTGGTTTTTATTAATTCCACCGATTCCTCATCGTGTCGTGATGAGGAAGAGTTTGAAGACAGTAGTTCGACAACTTCCTCTTCCACACATAATTGCAGTAGTATCGCCATAGACGACTGCGATTGGGACTACTTTGAACCGTCTATGATTAGTACCAGTATTACCAAACATGTGCTCTATTCACCCTGTGGATCTCCCTTAGTAGCTAGAAGACGTCAGTCTAGAGAGTTTAAGTCTAGCGATAGCACAGCTTCACCCATGGATTCGCCCTTAATGTATCGTAAACAATTGGTAACGTGTCCTCGTGTCAGAGAAAGCGATACCGGCACCGATGAGGAACTTTTAATGCAGGGTGAAAGTTCTAGTTCGGATGGTTATTTGACAAGGTCTTCGACTACTTCACGCAGTCAACCACAAATGACCATGAAGACTAGAATCAAGACTAGACTTTTGAGCAAGGAACAACATCACCATCATCACCACTATGCCAAACATCGCCACAGTTCACCACGCAATAGTCATTTGACAGAAGCTTGTAGTTGTGGAGCTACGAAATTAAATCAAAAACAAGAGAATATTTTAGCTAGTCCAACTTTACAGCCTCAGTATGTGCCCATACCAGTACCGGTGCCTATTCCTGTACCCATGTCGGCCTATCCCTATTGGAATGCCAATGATTTGTCACCACAGTTGCAGGCTTTGGGCCATGATAATGATGGGAACAATTTATGTGCTTCTTTGCAAAAACTTTGGTCTACGGCCCAGAGCAATTTACCCAATTCTTCAGCCAGCTCTTCCAATCTTCAGGCTGCTGCTGCAGCAGCAGTTGCGGCCACATATCAAAAATTGGCAGCACATAAATTGGATACTAGTTTCAAGTCATCGGCCCCCGATCTAAGTTCATCCACTTATTCTCTAGTTGGCATGACTCAGTCTCACTGTTCCACCTCTTCCGGTTATGGTACGAACACCACTACCGGCGGTAGCTTGGAAACCTTATTAAATGTTGAAAAGCTTACGGCTGGTGTGAATCAACTGGAACATAACCACCACCATCAACTACCGTTGAACAACCACCTCAACAAACAATCAACTGATAAAACATATGTTACCAAAAGACATTCCCTGCACACTATACCAGCGATTGTAGATGAAGACGACCAAAAACAAAACCACCACCACTTCTATCAGCAGCACTCGAAGCAGCAGCAACAACATAAGGCATTAAATGAATACAATGTTATCGATGACTGTGGTTTCAGCTGTATTCCAGCTCACCATACCTCAGCCATGTTAGTTGATACCAAACCTTCGTTGGGTTCAAGTCGTACTTCAAGTCAAACGGATATACGTGAGCACGACGTAAGACACGGGGACGTGGTACGGGAACGCGAACGGGACAGTGAAACATTTGAAAATGAAACACGCTCCAATACGAATAAAAAACAAATTCAGTCAATAAATTCAATTGATAACAACAGTTCATATAGACAAACTGACAATTTGTTCATACCAGAAACAAACGACGAGAATTTGGATAAAATTATAAAAATTAACAAAAAATCTATTGAAAATAGTGATTTAGAAGTAGAGAATAAACAAGTTTTCAATTTGACTAAAGCTAATAGTTGTACGAATAGCAACAAAAACAACACCATCACAACCACGCACACTACCACAAATTTAACAAAGTCCAACAATACGGCCAAAACTAGAGATAAACAAACAACTTTGGCTAAAAACACAGCAGACAAACGGCAACAACAGCTGCCAACTAAATTAATAATTAAAGAACCAACAACTAAAACAAACGAAATAACAAAGAGAACAACACCACCACTACCACTGCCACCAACATCATTATCATCATCGTCATCGTTAGTATTACAAAAAGAGCAACATACTACACAAACGTATGGAGGAACAAATAGCAATGAAACCTCGCTCTCAGATCAATTGGGAATAGAGAAACAAGGTGGGAATGAAAAACAGTTATTATTATTGTTAAAACAACAACACGAAGCCTATAATGATAATGTTATCGTTAATTATGATGTTAAACATAATGACGACGGCAACTACCACTACGATAATGATGTCGATGGTGATGATGATGAATGTAATGAAAAAGCTGTAAAGCCGGTAAAAACTTGTTTGCCCAGCACTAAAACAAAAAAATCTATTTGCACAGATGATTATGACGCTGGTGGCGACTACCAGTTGTTGTTATTGGCTGATGTAAAGAGGCAAACCAAGAAGAAGAAAAGTTGTAAAACCACTGCTGCCGTTGCAACTGCACAACAAGCTTTTGAAGAAAATGTGAAAAACCAGACAAAAAAAACTACATTATTTACAACATTAACAGCACCAGTACCAACACCAGCAACAACAACAACAACTACCACTACCCCAGCAATTGTGTTAACAACATTAAGTACACAAAAATCTATACAACCTGCAGTCGTTGGAAAATCGCCAAACGCAACGGTGGTGCAAGCGGCGGCCGTATCCACTAACTTTAGTAAACGTAGCAGCAGCACTAGCAATAATACAACACCAACTGCAACTGAAACAGAAGCGATAAGAAAATTATCTAAAAATAAAATTAAAAACATGATAAAGAACCCAAATCAAATAAAGTCTGACGACGAAGAAGACAACAATGATGGTTACCTACAGAGTGAAAGAAATTTCCTGTCAACCGATTCAGAATCGAAATCGCACAGTGAGGATGATGACGCCACATCATCGGAAAATTCTCAAACTGAGAACGAGCAAGAGGAGGCAGTAGAAGAGAGACAGACTAAGGAACGCAACAAAAAAGCTCTAAAGAAAAAACGAACTACAAAAAGCATTAATCGGTCCTATAACATTGTCAACGATGAAAGCAATGAAAATTCCAACAATTCTACCCCCAACAGCTCCTCTCAACACTCCTCCAATGAGACAGAAGAACACAAAAGTGATAGCGTTAGTGACAGTGATAGTGATATGAGTGTGTCTAGTTCCGAGTCCGTAGATACCGATGATACCGGTAATGTAGCCGACAGAAGACCGCGTAAAAAACATTTCGCCAAAGTCTTTGTAGTAAATCGTAAATCGCACAAACGTAATGGTACGCCGGGCTATACAAGTGATTCGTGCACTCAATCCTCGTCGGAGGCAAATTTGGATGACTCCTCCGACAATGATACCGATACCGAAAGAACCCATTGTGGTGTTGTATTGCGTTGCATTAAATTACTCAACGAAGACAGTGACAACAACATCGAAATTAAAGAAATACGCGATTCGTTGCATGAAAGTGACAGCTGCAGTGATTCAAGTGCCCATGATTGCAAACGTGACGCTAATTGTTCGCTAGACAACGATCAAAATGATAATCATCGTACTGATAATGAATCGCATGAACAAGAGAACTTAGAAGAAGACGATGAAGATGAAAGTGAATGTAGATCATTGTATGTTTGCACCTCGCGCGAAGAAATTGCCAATTGTATTTTTGTCGTTGGCGGTCAAACAGACGACGACAACAATGGGGGTGTTGTTTTGCAAAAAATTAGCCTGCTAAATACAGAGGAAAATTTATACGATTTAAATGATAATGTTGATAATGATCATGGCATAGTTAGCCAGAAAGTGGCAAGTGAAAAACAACAAAACGTAGTGGTGCCTTTGCAACCATATACGAAACAAAATTTCTGTTTATTAAATGAACAGCACGAGCAATTAGAGCATTCGAATGCAACGCGTGTTGCCAAACATGCTTCACTGATTACGGCCGTTGACTATAAACAGCAGCAACAAACTGATAAAATGCAACAGCAACAACAATCAACATCATCATCGCCTTCTACGGACTTGGTGGTGGATGAAGCTTGCGAGGAATTGCATAGCATCTCCAATGATGTGAATCGTTTGTTGGCTCTGACCAAACAAAATTCCGAACTGGAAATAAAATTGCAAAAACTGAAACGTGGTGTGGCTGAAATTAACCAGGACTATTTAAATGACTTGGGCGGCACAGACCAGACCTCATGCCCATTGACTGCAGAACAAGAGAAATTACACAAATCTACTAAACCTAATGAAAGCATTCCAAAGGTTTCCTTAACATTACAAACGACTGCAGATAGCGTTCCTAAGGTGAGAGAAGAGGAGGAGGAGGTAAAGGCTTTGGAAGAAAAATTGCTTAATATATGTTCTATGATAGAAACTAAAAATAAACCTAAAACCGGTAATGTAACACTTACATCAACACAAACAATAACAAAAGAAAATAAAAACAATAATGAAAATGTTCTAAACGACTGCTTAACGTCTTCTTCTTGTTCGTCATCAACGTCTCCAGCAACAACAAAAAACGACTACATGAAATTGAAATATGAGCTAGAAAAAGTGGAAATACCTGTCATGAAGCCAACAGCAACAACAAAACACAACAATAAAGATAAATTACTACCAGAATCGACTACTTCTACAACTACTACAACTTCCAGCTTCAAACATGACGTCTACGATACCGACTTTAACATGGTCTTTGCCACAGCACATGAAAACCTTTCCTCGGTAAAACGTGACTCCATAGAAGATTTTAAAGTCAACCATGTACGTTACGTGAATGCTGATGATGGCGATCGGTCAGAACATGTTCTCTCCGAGGAGGAAGTTGAAGGGGTGGATGATGACGATGAATGTGCTATTGTTTATGAAAACAAAAGCCAACTTCATAATGATGACGAAAGTAAATGTGAAATGAAGAAAAATCAAAACAAACTAACAAAAACATCAAACATTCATAACACTGACAACAACAGCAGCAGTAGTGGTGCTAATGGTGGTAGTAAATCTGACACGAGTAGTGGTAGATATACCTGTAAAACATTTAACGAACAGGTAACTAAAACATATGACGAAGAGCGACAACAACAGCAACTAACCAAAGCAGCTGCTTCTAAACGAAGTTTAAGAGAATTGAGCAATAAACCAGAACAACAACAAATCAACGAAGCGTGCAAAATAAATGAACTTATACTTGACGGTTATTCTTTTTCCACTACTTCTCCGGCCTCTCCCGTTTCTACAAATTTCACAGAATATTTTATGGACTCATTAGAAACTACTGCTAATCTTCCCTCTACAGGTAGAGAAGAAATAGAAGAAACGCAATCACAACAAAAATCAAAATACAACTATGAACAACAGGTAGTTTCTGATGTTAAAGAGAAGAGTAGCGAACCGTTGATGTCGTTAACTTCACAGGTGAGCAAAGAGTTTTCGTGCTCAGAGATCAATATGCCGTCGTATAGTAAAGTTATACGTGCAGAGTATGCTTCGTTACAAGCAGTTGAAAATGAAATGTTAAACGAAACACACGGTAAACAACGGGGAGATAGCGACCATCGTTTAGTGCAATCATCATACTATGACGATTTAAAAACGCCAAATGATTACGGTAACTTGGGTGCGATACGTAAATTGCAACAACAAAAACCACAACATTTTATACAAACAATAACAGCAGCAACAACAAGTGAACCATCTACGATAAAATACTTCAATCAAAATCAACACCAGCAAAAACAATATTTTAATATAAATAACGAAAATAATAATAAAGTGGAACACAATAAAGATAAAACAGAATCGTACTACGACGATTATTATCAAGACCTTAACGAAAACAACAGCGACGTGGACGCCGACGACGACGTTGTAGACGAAGTCGTCAACGTCTACCACAACGAAGACGACGACGACGTCTTTGGTTTTAATCATTCTGCATCCAAAAATAATCTACATAATCGTTCTCAGCAATTATCATCGAGTGCAACAAGTTCTACAAGTGACGATCCTAATGAGATCTCGGATATAACAAATGTAAATATTGTTAGTACGAAATCATCGATTGTAACGCCAACAAAGTATCGCAGTACACACGTAAATAGTTCGCCAAATACTTTATCCGCCAAATATCGTAGTTTGATAATGATTACAAAAGATCAAGAACTCGCGCAACAACCGAATGAAAGTGACGTTACGGCACGTGTAAATAGTGAAAATCAAATAGAAAAATCTCATAATAGTAATAATGAAAATAGTAATAATAATTATGATAACGATAACGATAATGATAATGTCAATGAAAATGATCAAATGAAAAGTGTTAATAGTGCAAAAACAAGTGAAAATCTAAAACAAATGTCTGAAATAACAACAAACTCAAGTGTTTATAACAATAAGAACAACGATGAATCATCGCCAGCCACTCAATTAAAAATATCCTCTCACCACAAAGATAAAATAAGTGCAAACAACGAAAAGATAGAACAAGCAATCGCGAATACGTCATTACTTTCGGTAGATCTACTAAGAGATCAACGAATAACAAGTAACGATGATAATGATTATGATAGTTATGAGGAATATGTTGACGATTCAAATGTGACAATTAAGAAATGTACTAAAATACCTCCGGTTATATTGGAAGATGGGCTGGCCGATGATGATTCCTGGGTGGAGGAACTCAGTGAACATGGAGATGGTGGCGATGAGGGTCGTGCAGTTGACGAAGATGGAGAAGAAGATGATACTACTCCTACTTGTACCGATTCCGAAGATGGCGATGACCCTCACACCATGGGCATGTTTCATGATCGCGAAGAGGAATTGAGAGGGTATCATCGCACTGCTATTGACTTTACCCTACACACCATAGTAGAGGAAAGTTGTGAAGAAAGTGAGGTGGCCTCGCTTAGAAGTCAAACAGATGAAGAAGAATTGGATGATTTGGAGAGAAGACGTCAGAGAACTTTGCAACATCATCATCGACTCTCAGCTTCAGAACTAGAGAAGTATTTCTTCTTTGGTCTTGGTGATGGTAAAGTAATGACTTCCATCGATACTCATGAAGATACTGCCTCGGAAGTGAGTAGTGTGTGTTCAGAAGGTTTGGATTCTATGAATACACCAGATGAACCCCTCAATGATGTGAACCAAGCAGCAGACTTGGCTTCTTCTCGTTTGGAGAAATATTTCATTCTTATGGGCTTCAATTCCAATGAGAATAATGATTCCGATGAAAGCGGCAGTGTGGGTAGTGATAGTGAGGGACATCCAAGTCCCAGTCAAAGAAGAAAACGTCTAGTGAGAGCCAGAACCACACCACGATCTCATAATTCTTCTTTAGATAATCTACTCGTAGATTCACAAAATAATGACAGCCTAGATAATACACTAATGCCTGCCACCACACAAGATATTATAGACTCCTCTGAATCGGAAAATTGTGATGAAACTGTTATCCACAACAGCAGTGCTAGTGAGAGAACTTCCGATGGCACAGATACCATGAAACGTAAAAAGCAATTGCGAAAACGTCATGACTCTTTAGATGAGAAAAAACTACACGAGACCTCACTAGAGGAGAGTAACAAGAATAGTCTTGAATGTCGCACGCCCACTCCTGGTTCCATCAGCAGCTCCCAGGCTAAGAAACAACAACATCATAGCCGAGATAGTGGATTTGTGGGAAGTAATGACGATTTATTAAAATCCCCTGAAAGTGAAGGTGCCTCCACTTCTCATCATGCCCGCACTAAATCTCCCACTATTTTAGAACAAATTAAAGAAGATAATGAAAAGATACAAACACCCATACCTGCCTTACGTTTAAGTACAATAACAGACTCCCCCAATTCCGCATCAACCTCAGACAATAGCAAACTATTAACAAATCCAACAACTAGTTCCAATACGAACTTAGTACGAAAAGACAGTTTTAATAACTGGAGTTCGGATGAAGAAACCAATTTAATGATGTGCAAAATGCGTCAATTCTTCAAGACTTTGGTGGTGGCTACAGCAAATGCACAACAGGGTTCGGCCAGTAATTCGAAATCCACTACACCAAATCAAACAACACCTATATCGGTACGTCGCATGAAATCGCGTCCGACCACATTCGCATATTTCGAAAATGAGTTAACGCGTCTTATGAAAACGGTTCCGGGTATAAACGATGAACAAGTTCGTGAAATTGTCGAGTACTTGAGTAGTGAAGATACTTGGTCTGATTCCTATGATTCGTCCGATTACACCAGCTCTGATTTAGAGGGCAGTAGCCAGAGACGCAATGAACTTAAACAACAAATATCCGCTAGTTGTCAACAGATTATAAACAAGTTTGAGGTGGATGAAGAGGGCGACCGTGGTGATGGTGGTTTACTAGATGATCCACGAACATCAAATCCCGATACAGCATTAGTATATCAAAAACTGGTCGCTTCTTTCTCCAAAATGGCAGTGGATAGTGCCAATCCCAATTTAGAATTGCCGACAGACATAATTGAAGCACAAGCAACAGAAAGTGTTAACGGTGGTGGTAGTCTGAAGAATGCAGATGCTAGTGCGGCCGTAGTTGAGGAAGATCGTATTTCCACAGGCAGCACACGAAGTGCTGAAAGATCTCCCCAATTATTTGCTAGGGTAATGCAACACATTGGCACAAGATTAGTAGCCCTAATGCATGAAGTTAGTAGTGGTAATGATACCCATGGAACTAACTCCCCTATGCCTGCACAGCGTAATCAACACAAACGTTTGCAAGCTAAAATATCAGCTACCACCACCGAAGATGAAGAGGATACACCTACAGAAGATAAAGCATCAAATTATGCGAGAAGTTCACAGTATTTACATCCATCACATGCCCAGCACATCTATCAAGCAACACGTAATTATCCACAGGATGAGGCCTACAATTTGGCACGTAGTAAATCACACGACCTTTTATTAGACTCGACCACATCTATGACTGCTACGAGCAGCAACAGCACGGGCAGCGGCGGAAATAACATCCATCATGCAGCTGTCCACAATCGACCACATCACCATCAGTCTAGCAGCGGTGTTAGCGATACCGCCGGCGAAGAGTGTGGAGTGGCTAGCGATTATGAGCGCTTCTCATGGCGCGGCAGTTTTGAATCAGCATTACTGGCTAATGGTGACTCCAGAACTAAATTATCTCAACTCGACCGTGACAACTCATCGTCTGCGTCCGCTTTGGCCGTTGCAAAGCGCCGTTCGGCAGGAGATTTGTTGTTCAACCATAAAAGTCTAAGTCGTGAACAACTGGATCGTGTGCGTTCCTGTGGCAGCATTGGTGGAGGTGATGAACATCATCACGTTTTGGAATCGTCGCCAGCAAAGCCTTGGCTATCATCCAATGATTCCAAGGACGCCAGACGTTCTAGCGTACCAGATGCTATTTATGAAACCGATACTTCATCTTCCGATGATTGTGAGGCATTTGTCGGCACACGTTCAACACTGCCACGCAGTCTAATTGGTGTGGCCCAAATGTCCACAACAAATTCATTGCCACGTCTACCCACCACCGCCAACCAAACAACAACATCCTCATCCACCTCTTTGGGCCTGGGTGCAGCCGCCACAGCAAGTTCAACGTCTGCTCTGGCCTCAGGTGTGTCAGCCACTTCGACGCCCATTTCATCGAAATCACAAAACTCGTTGAATTTCACACCAACAAACAGTGCCAAGAGTGCACGTTATCGACCGCCTGGCCTAAAAACCCATCACAATTTTGGCTCAATTAATGTCAAAAAGTGTGCCCAGTCCAATGCCCAGGCATTGCAACAATTTTTGTATCCTAAGCGTGATGCACGGAAACGTTTAAATTTATCCACGGGTGAGCAATTATTTTTATTTTTGTATTTTTAAGTTTATTTTTCTATTTATTTTATTTATTTTAGGGTGGGTCAATTTTTATTTGAGTTTAGTACTTTTTTGTTTACGTTTAAAAGTTTGAAGTTGTATTTTTCTATCATTTTTTGGAGTTTTTAAGGTGTGTGTGAAATGTTGTTGAATTTATCAACTTCTTTTTTTGCATTTTCACGCACATACACAATTGAAATATGAGCATAATTGGGTTTTAAACATGTCCCTGACATAAAAAATATGCTTTATATTTGGTTTCCTTTTTAATTAAGAGTTTTTTTTTAATTATATCAAAAAAAATATATAAATTATATAAAAAAAATGTCAAAAGATCTGCAAATCTAGCATATTTAAATTCAGGCCTATGTTTGAGAGAGACCTTCTCTTTGAAAGAGAACCTCTCTTTCATTTTTAGACTACTTGATAGCTCAAGATTAAGATTAATTATATTCGATTTAGTTTACTTCTTATTTTATGAAACAAAACTTTTCTTTTATAAAAAAATCTTAAGTGAGAATAATTAACAGACATTTACACTTTCGAATTAAATACCGAAAACACATTTAAAATAAGTTTATTAATAAATACCGCCGCAGGGATTCCAAATTTCCCAAAAAAACACAACCGATGACTCAAATTTTCAACAGAATTCATAATTTACAAAATTTCTAAAACCAAATTCAAAACCATTAAGTTTCTAATATTAAAAAGAAGATGGAAACAACAAAAAATTCTCATACTAAAAAATATTAAAATAAAAATTAATGATGAAAGAAATACTAGGAAATTGTTCGAAATTCTACCACAAAGAGATGTTTAAATGACCAATAAATTGTTTCACTGTTGAGACCACAGCAGCAGCAGAAGCAGCATTAATGCTACTATTATGACTGGCGCTGTGGCTGCTGAATCTGTGAGATACAAAATATGATTTTATAAAGTTAAAACAACTTCATGGAAGTAAAAACAAATTAAAGAAGCAGCACATGAAAAAAATAACAAAATTAAACAGAACAAGATAAGTAAATTGAGAAATAGTTTGTGTTTTTTTTAGCCTAAAGGTGTGACTAAAGCTCGGTCGTTCAAATAAACTACAACTATTAGATATAGTTAGAGCAACAACACTAAAGTTGAAATAAGAAAAAAAAAAGCAAACAATCAAGGTCAATTAACTGTTGGCCATATTAAGCGGATTTCTATGAGTAGTAAAACGAATTGAATAAAAAAATTATATATTTTTTGTTAAATATTTCGTTTGTTTGACAAGAATTTTTTTATGATTTTCAAACATTCAATCTTATATGTGGGAGGGTTTTTTGAACTTAAATCTATGTCTGCAAAACTCGGCTAAATACAAAAACAAAATAATATTGAATAACATTTGCTGCAAACGAGAAAAGTTCAACACAAAAAAACTTTATATATTGAGCAAATCTTTTAATTGAAATCTATACTTGTATTTCCTGTTTATTTGAGGTTTACTGGAATGAGCCAAATATTAACTTTGTTTTTGTTAGCATAATAAATTTATTAAGATTTTTTTTTAATTTATTTAAATAATAATATATGCATGTTACTTGGCTAAATTCATTTATCGTATATTTCTACACTTTTTACACCAACTACATATTTATTTTTTGTGAATTTCAATAAATTTTTTTTTTTTTGGCTGTTACACGCGATTTTTATTTCATTTATAGCCATAATTATTGACGGAAATATTGTTAATTCTTTTCATAACTTTTTTGTAATATTATTACAATATTTGTGCTTTTTTAACTTTTATTTCCAAACTTAATATTTTTAATACTTTCCATATAGTTGTAGTATCTATAGGTTTGTATATACATAGTATTTTTTGTGTACATTTCCTGAATAATTAATTAAATTCAAATTATATTTAATATAAATAAAAGTATGTATGTTTGTGTGTATAAAAATGTATGATTGCATTATAACTCCTCAAAAACATACACATATGTATACCTGTGTATGTAATTTACTTTTGGTTATTATTTAGTTATTACTATTACTCAACACCCTGTAATAACAGTTAAAATAATTTGTTAGCAAATTTTAAGAAATATTCATAACAGCCTTAATATGCTGACTTTAAACCTTAAGCTTTAGTGGTCAAACGTGCTGTAGTGTTAGTAGTGTAGTATTCAAAATTTATATTTTTTTGATTGTTTTTCATACAGTATTTTCAACATAAATACCTAAATTTTTATTTAATTCAAAAATTATGTTATTTTTTCTAGTGTTTCGTTTGCACTTTCTCTTAATCAATTATGGAGCTAATGTTTTTAAAATTTGGAATTTTTGTTTATTGAAAATGTAGATAGGCCTAGGAAATGACTTTGCTATATCGCACACTCTATATTCAAAAAGTGCTAACTCAATCTTGGGCCAAAGTATGTTTTTAATAGCTAATAATTCCTCAATTTCCTCAAATTCCTTAAAACATTTTTTTGCTCTCCTGAAAACTAAACTAACACAACTAGCACTTTTTGAATATAGTTTCTCGATTGAAGTTCTTATATACTTCTTTTAAACAAATGTCGTGATAAATAAATTTGATTTCGATTAAATCATACATAATATTGCGGAATTTACTCTCAATTTATTTGGTCATAGCTTCCGTATAAGGACAACTTTTGAATAACTCACTATATTTTCATACTAGCTGTACCCAGTGCGCTTTGCTACCCTAAAAGCAATATTCATAAATAAAAAACCCACTTAAAGATTTTAAAGATTCTAACTACAATAGTTTTCCAAATTGAGAGATGTCAAGCAAATTATTGCAAGTTCTATCTATCTATGAAAAATTTGAAGAATATAAGAGTTACCAGATACACGAAATTTTGTAATTAATTTAAGCAATTGAAAGTCCGCCGTTATTATCTAAATATTCCCATGAATGTCAAAGTTCTTCATGTAAAATTTGAAGATTCTAGCTCTAATAGTTTCTTAGTCGGGGCTTCAAGCTACCCAGATGAAAGCTCGTATTTTTGCCCCAAAATGTTCAGATTAATATTAAAATAATTTTAAGAATCAAGTTCTATTAGTTTCCCAGATAAACGAAATTTTATATTTAATTCATATGGAAGGTGCAAAGTTCCCCATTGAAAGTCCGCCCGTTATACTCTAAATGTTCAGATGAATGTCAAAATTCTTCAATTTGAAGATTCTAGCTCTAATAGTTTCTCAGATATACGAATTTCACTATTTAATTCATATGGGGGCTTCAAGCCCCCCAAGATGAAAGTCCGCTCTTTTTCCTCCAAAGTGTTCAGATGAATATTAAAGTTCTTCGTACAAAATTTTAAGAATATAGTTCCATTAGTATCCCAGATAAACGAATTTTTGTATTTAATTATTATGGGAGGTGCAGCTCCCCTCATGGGTAGTCCGCCTATTTATTACCCAAAATGTTTAAATGGATGTTAAAGTTATTCAGGCAAAATTCTAACTGTAATATTTTCAAAGATAAACGAATTTTTTTATTTAATTTATATGGGAGGTGCCACGCCCACTAATGCTAGTCCGCCTACTTTTTGTCCTAAATAATCATATTGACACTAAAGTCGCCCCGATAAAATTTGAGGACTCTAACTGTTATATTATCTCAAATATACGGATTTAATATTTTCTTTACATGCGCTTGGCTCCCCGCCCACTTGGAATTTCAAAATAAAAAGTAGCCCATTACCTATTCCAGACATGCAGGAATACGCTGTGAAAATTTGAAGAAAATCGGTTCAGCCGTTTAGTAGTCTATTACGTTCAAACAAACAAACAAACACACGTTCATTTTTATATACATATATAGGTAAGAACTTCGAACACTTAGACCAATGATGAGTTTTTAGTTTCACTTCATCAGAAATTTCAAGAGTTTTAATTGACTCCAATTTTATGATCTCCGAAGGGTATAGCCTAAATATTTTAGGGTCTCCACAAGTCAAGATGTAGCTTCATTTTTAGGCTATTATACTAGTTCGAGTGTGGTGCAAAACTCTCCAAAGCCAAACAAAGTTATCCGCCTTTAAGAGATAACAATGATGACGCCAGAGTTGTTCAACACAAACCAAATATATTTCTTATCTATGTCGTTATCAAATTGAAATCCAACTCAAATAATACAATATAATCAAATAATCTAGTATGTTTAGCAATATTCATAAAAGACCAAGAAGTTTATCAATCTTTAGGATGTCAGGATTTCAATCTTAGGATCTGGCTGTCAAATTTTATCCGAAAAGTATTTTTGTAAATGATTGATAATTGAATAAATAAACAATTTTAAATAATTACTCGGAAACCAATTGGGCAAAAGGGAAATATAAATCATTTAATTACAATTTATAAAACTAAAGTGTAAAAATTAGAATATCTAAATTTGGCAGCGACATATTCGGCATACAAAGTTGTAAATGCCTTTTGAAGAACTCATATTTTTTTATACATATAATTAAAATGTTCAAACCAGTTTGTTAACAACAAATATCTACCATAAATCTGATAAAATAAGCAATTTTAAACTTAAATTAAGAATAACAAACAGTTTAAATCCAAAGTTAGATTTTTGAAAAACAATAATTCAAAAAAAGTTTCTCTATCTCGCCCGTAAGAATTTAAACTCGCTTTAAGCCTTAATAGTTTAATTAATTGAATTATATTTTATTATAACATTTGTTTACAGATCAAAATTTAACTTTCTTTCAAGTTAAACTTCAATATCTGTTTTACATAATTTATTATGAAATGCCTTAAAGAATCACTTACTAATAACTTCACCCAATGATCACCCAAGTTGTGTTTTGTAAATGCCCTTTACTCGTCTTTTAATGTTACTTTTTACATCTTTAAACGTTTTATTGCCCGCTTGTATGAATTTCTGTGTAATAAAGCATTTATGACAATAAAAAGATTCTTTGAAATTCTATTTTTATATACATAAATGTG